GGCCGCATGTCGCGGGCGGCGCGCGGCCGGCGTTGGGCAGCGCAGACGCCGAGTTGGCCCGGAACTTTCGGGCAGATTCTGTCTCGGGGCACTTCTGGAGCCCTCTGGTCTCGAAGAGGCCCTTGACAGCGCCAAAACAGGCCCAGAGGAACCCCGGGGCGTCCCCAGAGGGTCCCCTGGAGGGCCCCCAGTACGGCGTGCAAGTGCACGTCTTTTTGTGGCTCCGCTTGGAGCCTGTCCTGTCTTAGAGACCTCCAGACCCGCTGGAGAACGCAAACGGCCGCAATGGCTGTAGCATTGGTCGTGGCAAGCGCGAAACAGGCATAGAAGAGTACGAATGAACAAATCCGCCGACTCTGTCGGCGTGGAATCTGCTTTTCGTTCGTCGTCGTCGTCGTCGTCGTCGTCGTCGTCGTCGTCGTCGTTGTCGTCACCGTCGTCGTCGCCGTCGTCGTCGCCGTCGCCGTCGCCGTCGCCGTCGCCGTCGCCGTCGCCGTCGCCGTCTTCGTCGCCGTCGCCGTCGCCGTTGCTGTCGCCGTCGCCGTCGCTGCCGCCGCCGCCGCCCTCCTCCCAAAGCACGCCAGCCAAAGCGAAATTGAGCAACGTCGTAGTTGAGAAGCCCCTTTCCTTTGATCCCTTCCCCGGGGGGGGGGTCGAGGAGGGTTCAAGGTCAGAATGCCATCCCCCCCGGGGGCTCCTGGGGCCCCAAAAACACAAAAACGAGCCACGAATGCCCCCAGAGGCCTCAAGACAGTCCAAGAGGGCCCCGAATTGCCGAACGATCCGTCCAAGGCGACAGAGATGGCCTCCACACAGTCCAAGACACCTCCAAGACGCTCCAAGAGGCCTTCAATAGCACTCCCAAGATGTAAAAATCATGGATTACCCCTATGCTTTTTGGAGATTTGGGCGTTCTTGCCTTCTCGGGTGCCCGACGCTCCAAGACTGCCCAGGAGGCCTCCAAGATGCACCCAAGATAGCCCGAGAACTCTCCAAGAGGGCCCCGAAACGACCCAAAAAGGCCCCCAGACAGCCCAAGAGGCCTCCAAGACAGCCCAAGAGGCCCCCAAGACGGCTCCCAGAGCTTGCCCAGGCAGGGCATCGAAAGGAGATCTGGAACCTCCGGCCCCAGAGCCTCCCAAGAGGCCCCACGAGGGGACCCCGGGAAGACCGAAAACCGGCCCTCGGGAGGCTCCCCAGATGCCATTAGGTCGGGCGTCTCCCCCTACAGGCGGATTCTGGGCGAATAAAACAGCCAAACAGTATTCGTGAAAAAATAATCGAAAGATCGTCCCCAGACTACTGTTTGACTATTCTTGAATTTTCCCCCTGCAGAGGGACGTGCCCGACGTAAAGATACCCCCACGAGGCTGTCTGGAAGACCCAATGGCCCACTCCCCCCTCCTCGTCCGCATTTTCTATCTCCCTGCCCTCCTCGCCTACCGGGGTCGGCGGCACCGGCCGCAAGGCCTTCACAATAGAAGTACGAGGGAGAGCAGGATAGCGTTGAGTCGGGCCTGTCCCCCTACAGGTGGATTTTCGACGAAACATAAAAATACGCCAAACATGCTCCAAAATGGTAAAAAAAAAAAAAAAAAAAAAAAAACGTTAAAAAATCCCCTGGCTATGTTTTGACTATTTTTGAATATTCCTCCTGTGGAGGGACGGGCCCGACTTAAAGATAGCGGCGGCAGCAGTTGCCGCACCAGCCATGAAGTCAGAAGAAGCACCAGCGGCAGGTGTAAAGCGTAGTACGGACTGTAGCGCGAACTATGGTGAGCAGGGCTACTTGCGCTAGAGCAGGATACAAGTCGTGCCCGTTCAGCAGAAGGGGGCTGTAGTGATGAGGATGGTAGCAATGCCCCCCACTGTAGTACCCCCCCACCCGAAATGCCGCGCGAGTCGATTGGAGCAGAAAACTCGTCGATTGGATGAGACTGTCTATCTCATCTTTCTCTCTCTCTCTCTCTCGCCAACACTTTGGGAGCATCGGCCCCAAAACCTTCGGATCTCCCGAGCGATCGCGGGGTGCGCCGGACAACTTTCTCCGAGGCCCCGGGAACGCGGTGCGGAATCCGAGCTTGAAACATGCGAACATGCCCCCCATACACAAAGACAGAGGGTCAGAGGGACTCTGACTACCTACCAGACCACTCCAATCCAACCCGAAGACTCGAATTTCGGGTTGGGGGGGATACCTGTCCCAGATGTGTTTTTGTTTCAATGTTTCCCGACCCACCCCCCACTGGAAATGGAGGGCAAACTGAGGCCTTCAAATTGGGTTGGGGTGATTTGGTGGGTGGTGAGGCTCCTCGCGGAGCCCTCTCAAATGCCTCTCGAGCCCGCTTGCCTGGGCAAGCGCCCCGGGATCGCCCCTGAGACGGCCTCCGCCCAGGCCACCCCAGACGGCCCAAAGAGGGGCTCCCCCCCCCCCCCAAAGCGGGGGGAGCTCGCAGGGGGCCCAGGAGTACTCCGCCCCAAGGGGACCCGCGAGACCGCCAGGATCGCCCCGAAGTCGGCCTCCCCAGGCCGCCCCAGGCGGCCCACGGAGGGCCCCCCCCCCTCCGAAGGAGAGGGCCCCCCACGGAGCACTCCGCCCCAGGGTGGCCCGCGAGGCCGCCAGGAGGCCTCCGGGGCCTCCGCCAGGAGGCAGGCAAGACGCACCCCACCCCACCCCGGAGGCTCCCACTCCTCCTCCTCCTCCTCCTCCTCCTCCTCCTCCTCACTCCTTCCTATTCCTTCCTTATTCCTTCCTTCCTTCCATCCTTCCTTCCCTCCTCCTCCTACCTTCTTCTTCTTCTTCTCCTCCTCCTCCCTCCTCCTCCTCCTCCTCCTCCTCCGCAAAGCACACGCAAAGACCTCACCGAGAGAAAAAAAAAAAAACAAAAAAAAAAAAAAAAAAAAAAATAAACAAAAAAAAAAAAAAATAAGAAAAAAAAAAAGAAAAAAATCAAAATAAAAATAAAATAAAGATGAGCCCCCGCGAGAGGCCCCCTGCGGAGCCGCTGGTGCACGACCCGGTCAAGGTCGCGGGATGCGCCGAAGAATCAGAATCGGAAGCTGAAGGCAGGATGACACCGCAGGCAGCGTGCGCAAAAACACACTGCCAGAGAGCTCCCGAGAGAAGCCCCGTGAGAGACCCCATACGAAGCCGCTGGTGCACGACTCGGCCACGGTCGCGGGATGCGCCGAATAATCAGAATCATAATCATAATCATAAGCAGAAGACAGAATGACACCGCAGGCAGCGCGCGTAAAAACACACTGCGGGCAGAACAAGCACCGAGCGAGCGCAATGCTCGCTGGCAGAACCTGAACTGCCGAAGGACGCCACGCCAGGCAAGTCCACCGAAGGTCACTGGACACAGACCCAGGCCACCCAACTTCGGGACGCCACTCCAGGTAATTCCACCGAAGGTCATTAGACAGAGACCTGGGCCACCTAACCTTAGGTCGGGCATGTCCCCCTACAGGGGGATTCTCGACGAAACATTAAAATATAATAAAACAAATTCAAACATGATCTAAAAAAATCGTCCCCAGAATTTTGTTTCACTATTTTTTGAATGTTCCTCCTGTAGAGGGACGAACCCGACACAAACCTGATCTCGCGCATCGCTCCCCGCGATGCGCGACCCGCGGTTCTCTTCGCACCCTCGCACCCTCGCGCCCTCGCGCTGGCCTCCCTGAAAAAGCAGCAGCTCTGGCCCAGACCGCGACGCGCGAGGGGCGGCTCTCCTTCGCGCCCCGTGGGGGTGGCCGAGCGCTATACCGCAGGAGTGTCATGCTGCTGCTGTGGAGACGCCACTGTGAACTTTGCAGATTCGTTGTGGCTCGTGCTCCCTCCCTCCCTCCCTCCCTCCCTCCTCTTCCTCCTCCTCCGCCTCCTCCTCCTCCTCCTCCTCCTCATCCTTCCTCCTTCCTCCTTCCTCCTTCCTCCTTCCTCCTTCCTCCTTCCCTTCCTCCTTCCCTCCTTCCTCCTTCCTCCTTCCTCCCTTCCTCCTTCCTCCTTCTCCTCTCCTTCCTCCCTCCCTTCCTCCTTCCTCCTCCCCCTCCTTCACACCCCTCCCCTCCTCCCCCCTCCTCCCCTCCTCCTCCTCCTCCTCCTCCTCCTCCTCCTCCTCCTCCTCCGCCCCCCCGTGAGTCGTTCCTGGGGGGGGGAACCCAGATCATCCCCCCAGGACTGGTGCAAGCGCTCTGGATAGGCATAGCAATAGGTGTTGTATAACTCCCTACAGGCGCGGATTTCTCGGATTTGCGCTGGGCCCCCCTCCATGGCGCGCAGAGCGCGCCAGGGGCGGCGCTGCCCCCGCCGCCCACCGAGCTGCCTAGATTGGCGAGATCCGCGAGGGCAGGGCGTTCGGATCTCGCCACCGACAGGAAGGAACAAGGAGCAGCAGGCCCCCAGCGCAGATCCAAGAAGTCCGCGCGGAGAGTCGAAAGTTTATGTTTACGTGTTTCTGTTCTTCTTCGACCCATGGCGTTGCTCCCGAAAGCCCCTCCCGAGACAGATGCCGCCACGACCCTGAAGATACTCGACTGGGCTCGGTGCACACGCTCGGCTTAGTTCGGGCATGTCCCCCTACAGGCGGATCTTGGACGAAACGTAAAAAAGACTCGACGGAACGCTCAGACATAGCCAACAAATACTAGAACAATCGTCCCCCGACTATTTTTCGCCTATTTTTGAATACTCCTCCTGTAGAGTTGTGGATACCGTGACAATGGACACTCTAACAATCCTATCATTGAATTAAGGATGTGTTTCGAAAGTGTAAAACGTGTTCTAAAAACGTTGCAAACATGTGTTTTACCAGTTTAAAATGTGTTTGAGACATTTTTTAGACATCTGGAAAGTATTTCGCAGCATGCTTCCTCGCCATTGAACGTCCTCCACAACCCGACTATTTTTAGCCTATGTTTGAATACTCCTCCTGTATAGGGACACGCCCGACTTGATGCTCGGCAGGACCTTCCCCGACAGACGCAAGGGGGCGCGCCTTCGTGAACACGGGCACCGGCACCTCGAGGAAGTCGTACAGGTGGGGGGACACCTCACCGGCCTCAAGCTATCCTCTCCCCTGAGGTTAGACTACCTACCAGACCGCCCCAACCCAACCCGAAGACCCGAATTTCGGGTTGGGGGGTATGGGCTCTATCTGTGTTTTTCGATGTCCCCCGACCCCCCCCCACTGGAAATGGAGGGCAAATTGAGGCCTTCGGGTTGGGCTGGGGTGGTTTGGTGGGTGGTGAAGATTGAAAAGCCCAAAGGCGATTACAACACCAAGGATGCGCGCTCAGAAGCTCGGGGAATCCTACATGTCGGCATCGAGATGAGGTGATGCCAACCATGGGGATACGGGTATGTTTGACGTTGGTAAACGCCTCCAGGAAGTCGTGCTGTTGGGGTAACACCTGACGTCCCAGACCCCATGGCCGTGCTGCCGCGTTGTAATTACCGTGCCGCACCGCTTTCGGTGGAACTCCTTTTGGGACACGTAATGTGTGGGGGACTGCCGTATTTCTGGTGGTCGGTAGCGCATACGAACTGTGCCACGGGGGCCTCAGGTGGAGCTCCCTATGGGGCCACGAAGCGTGTGAGGGGTGTGCAGACACGGGCGGCGCGGACGCATGCGAGCTGCGTCACGAAAGCCTTGGCCCTGTGAGGGTGCGAAACGTGCGACGGGTGTGCCGGAATTGGTGGCGGAGATGCATGCGAACGGCACCATTGGGCCGCAATGGGCGGCGGGGACGCATGCGAATGGCACCATTGGTGCCTTTTGCTGGGACTCTCCATGGGGCCACGAAACGTGGGAGTGGTGTGCCGGCATGGGTGGCGCACCGTTGGGGCCTTGTGTGCAGCTCCATATGGGGCCACGAAACGTGAGGGGTGCGCCGAAATGGGTGGCGGGGGCGCGTGCGAACGGCACCATTGGAGCCTCAGGTCCACGAAATGTCAAAGGTGTGTGCGGAAATTGGTTGCAGAGACAGGTGTGAACAGCACCATTGGGGCCTTTGGTGGAGCTCCCTACGGGGTCCTGAAAACTGTGAGGGATGTTGATGTGCCGAAATGTGTGGCGGGGACGGATGCGAACGGCACCATTGGAGCCGTACGTGGAGCTACGTACGCATGGGGTCACGAAACCTGTGAGGGGTGTGCAGACACGTGTCGCAGGGACGCACGCGAACGGCACCATTGGTGCCGTGGGCGGAGCTCCCTTTGGAGCCACGAAACGTGTGAGGAGTGTGCCGAAATGGGTGGCGGGGACGCATGCGAAGGGCACCAGAGGGGCTGTAAGTGGAGTTCCCTGTGGGGCCACCACGCGTATGAGGGGTGTTCCGAAATGGGCGGGGAACCGCATTCAAACCGCAACCACACCATTGGGACCGTACGTGGAGCTCCCTATGGGGCCACGGAACGTGTGAGGGGTGCGCCGAAATTGGTTGGCGGGGGCGCATGCGAATGACACCTTTTGGGCCTTGGGGTTCCCTATGCAATTCACAGCCCAGAGCCTGCCTCCTCAGAGCCTACTTACGACAGACGGCCTCGAGAGGCCGAGCGTGATATATATATATATATATATATATATATATATATATATACATACATACATACACACACACACACACACGCGCGCTACGCGCGCGCTTAGGTTCTAGCTTCGTCCGGGGCAGCGGCCAAACAACGGACGAGGAGGTTGAAGGCTGAATGCCCTTCGGTTATTCGTCGAGTTTCGCGGTCGTGGTTCGAAAAGCTCTTGGGCGCTCCTCACCCCCAGGCGGCCCGAGGCGGCCGAAAACGACACCTCTTCCTCGTCCTCCTCTTTCCCCCTGCTCTTCCTCCTCTCCTCCTACTCTTCCTCCTCCCCCCATCGTCCCCTCCTTTTCCCCCTTCCTCCTCCTCCGCCCCCTTCCTCCCCTCCTCCTCCTTTCCCTCCTCCTCATCCTTCTCCTCTTCCTCCTCCTCCGCCTCCTCCTCCTTCTCCTCCTACTTTCCCTCCTCCTCCTCCTCCTCCTTCCTCCTCTTCCTCCTCCACACCTCCTCCTCCCCCCCCTCCCCCTCCTCCTCCTCCTCCTCCTCCTCCTCCTCCTCCTCCTCCTCCTCCTCCCCCTCCTCATCATCATCATCACCATCACCATCACCATCATCAGCTTCATCATGTTCCTCCTCCTCCTCCTCTTCCCCTCCTGCTTCCTCCTCCTCTCCTCCACCTCCTCCTCCTCCGCCTCCTCCTCGCCCTCCTCCTCCTCCTCCTCCTCCTCCTCCTCCTCCTCCTTCTCCTCTCACTCCTCCTTCTCCTGCTCTTTCTCCTCCTCCTGTTCAGACTACGTGGCTCGCCAAACGGCACTGCGACGCCGCGCAAGCATTGGGCCACATCGGATAAAAGGGAACACTCGGGGGAGGCCTCCCTCTTGCTCTTCCTCCTCATTTTCTCCTCTTCCTCGACATCCTCCCCCCCCCGTCCGCTCCTCCTCCTCCGCCCCCTCCTCCTCCTCCCCCTCGTCCTTCTCCTCCTCCTTCTCCTCCTCCTCTCCTTCCTCTCCTCCTCCTCCTCCTCCTTCCTCCTCCTCCCCTCCACACCTCCTCCTCCTCCTCCTCCTCTCCTCCTCCTCCTCCTCATCCTCCTCATCCTTGTCCTCCTCCCCCTCCCCCTCCCCCTCCTCCTCCTCCTCCTCCTCCTCCTCCTCTCCTCCTCCCTCCTCTTCTTCCTCCCCCCCCTCCCAATCGTCATCGTCATCATCGCCATCATCATCCTCATCATCATCGTCAGCAGCATCATTATCATCATCATCATCCTCTTCCCTCCTCCTCCCCCCGTCCCCCTTTTCTCTCCACCCCCCTCCTCCCCCCCTCGTCCTCCTCTTCCTCTTCCTCCTCCTCCTCCTCGTCCATCTCCTCTTCTCTTTTCCTTTCTTTCCCCCCCCCTCCTCCGCCGCCTCCTCCGCGTGCAAGAAATCCAACACCATGTCGCGGAAATCAACGAACTGTGTCCCTCCGGGTTTTTTCGAGCGCCCTTTTAGGACTTGTCGGGGCCGTCTTAGGGCCCCCTTGGGCGCCCTGGGAACCCCGACATCATGTTCCGATAGAGGCTTCGGGGAACATGATTTCGGACGCTGCGGAAGAGGCTCCCTAAGAATCTCTATAGGCAGCTCTGCTTGCCCCCGTTGTGGCTCTGTTGGGTGCTTTTTGGGGTTTTCTTGGGCTGGCTTGTAGCTATCATGGGTCATCTTGGGTCCCTCTTGGGCCGTCTTGGGGCTCCTCGGGGTGGCGCTGTGAAGACGTCGTCGTCGTCGCCGTTCGCCGATCGGCGGCGTCAACTGTTGTCATCGTCGCCCATCGTCGTCGTCGTCGTCGTCGTCGGTCGTCGCCGTCGACGACCGTCGTCGTCATCGTCAATCACCGTCGCCGATCGTCGATCGGCCCCGAGCCCTCCCGCCCACTCATCCTCCTCCTTTTCCTCCTCCTCCTTTTCCTCCTCCTCCTCCAAATCTGCCTCCTCTTCCTCTTCCCCCTCCTCCTCCTCCTCCTCCTCCTCCTCCTGAAATCATGTTCCCGGAGACGCTTCCGGGGACAGGATTTCGAACGATGCAGAAAAGACTGGGTCCACGGTGGCTATGCGCACGCGGACAGCGTCGCCGCCGTCGGCGTGGCCGTCGTCGTCGTCGCCGTCGTTCGTCGATCGGCGACGTCGACTGTTGTCATCGTCTTCTATCGTCGTCGTCGTCGTCGGTCCACGACCGTCGTCGTCGTCGTCGTCAATAACCGTCGCCGGTCGTCGTCGCCGATCGTCGATCGCCCTCGAGCCTCCTCCTCTCTCCCCCCTCCTCCCATCCACTCCTCCTCCTCGCCTCCTCCTCCTTTTCCTCCTCCTCCTCCTCCTCCTTCGCCCTCTCCGTCTCCTCCGCGCGGAAGAAATCCAACAACATCTCGCGCAAATCAACGAACTATGGCCCTGCGGGCCTTTTCGAACGTCCATTTAGGGCCTTCGGGGGCCGTCTTAGGGCCCTGTTGGGCGTCCTGGGAACCAGGAGATCATGTTCCCGGAGAGGCTTCTGGGAATATGATTTCGAACGAGGCCCTCTTGGGCCTCCCTGAGGCCGTGTTGGGAGCTTCCTGGGCCAACTTTGGGCCCTCTTGGGCCGTCTTGGGGGTTCCGTGAGCCTCACAGGACGACCCTTTTGGGCCGTCTTGGGCCCTTTTGGGTCTCTCTTGGGCTGTCTTGGGGCTCGGGGGCGTCTGGGGCACTGTGAGGACCAAGCAAGCAAGCATGCTGAAAACGTACGTTGTACAACGGGAATGGGCAGATTTTTGCCTCTGGAAGGCCCTCTTCGGCCAGCTTCAAACCATCTCGGGCCCTCTTGAGGCGCTCTTGGACGTCTTGGGGCCCTCTTGAGCCTCGCTGAGGCTGTCGGACAGCGTCGCCGCCGTCGGCGTGGCCGTCGTCGTCGTCGCCGTCGATCATCGATCGGCGGTGTCGACTGTTGTCATCGTCGTCGTCGTCGTCGGTCGTCGTCGTGGTCGTCGTCGTGAATCACCGTCGCTTGTCGTCGTCTGCGATCGTCGATCGCCCTCGAGCCTCCTCCTCCTTTCTCCCCCCTTCCTCCCCTCCACTCCTCCTCCCCGCCTCGTCCTTTTGCTTTTCCTCTTCCTCCTCCCCCTCCTCCTCCTCCTCCTCCTCCTCTTCCTTCGCCCTCTCCGTCTCCTCTGCGCGGAAGAAATCCAACAACATTTCGCGAAAATCAGCGAACTGTGGCCCTCTGGGAATTTTTGAATGTCATTTTAAGCCCTTTGGGGGCCGTCCTGGGGCCCTTGGGCGCCCTGGGAACCCGGAAATCATGTTCCTAGAGAACCTTCTGGGAACATGATTTCGAACGAGGCCCTCTTGGGCCTCCCTGAGGCCGTCTTGGGGGCCTCTGGGCCGGCTTTGGGGCCTTTGGGGCCGTCTTGGGCTGTCTTGGGGCTCCTCGGGGGCCACCCTGAGGACGAAGCAAGCGAGTATGCTGAAATTCGTTTTACACGAGGAATGGGTAAAGTTTTGCCTCTTGAAGGCCC